ACACACACACACACACACACACACACACAGACACACACACACACACAGCCACACACACACACACACACACCACACACAGCGCACCTCGATGCGGCGCTGTTCTTCAAGCTCGGCCTGTTGGCGCGCAACAAGTAGCCGGTGCTTCTCCTTGTACGCAAACACGCGGCAGTCGCGCCCAGTGTTGCGGGACAAGGGGCGCAGCAGCCGAAGCAGCAGGCTAACCTCAGACACAAACCTGCGTTGGTTCGTGAAGTGCATGAGTGGATGCGTGCATGTGGCTGTTGATGCTTGTGGGCATGTGCGCTGTGGTTCGGGACGAGCACGAGAAAGACCGCACCACACAGCCACGCATGATTCTTTGCACACAGCCATGCACACACCCCTTTGTGTGCATTGTGTCGTTTTCATACCGTGGAGATGCGTTCTCGCACTCCTTTGCCACCTCCTTGTCAGCGCCGTGGCGCACGGCATCGAAGATGGTGGCGTGGACCTGTTGTACGCGCGGGCAAACAATGGTGAGATGATGGGTGGTTGATGGTCGACTACAGAGCACCGGCACGTGAAAAAACACCTGAGCAACCGTATAAAGTGCACACACACAAAGACACAGAGACACAGAGAGACACAGACACACACAGACATACACACACTCGCACGTACGCGCGTACGCACACGCGCGCGCGCGCACACACACACACACGCACATACACGCACACGCATACTCTCTCACTCTCACACACTCTCTCGCACGCACATACACGCACCGTGCGGTCGACAGCGAGCGGGTCTGTGTGGAACTTGTCGTCGCCTTCACCCGGGGCAACAGGGTACACGTACTTGTCCTGCCACACATATGTCTGGTACGGGTCCTTGTACGAGTACGGTGCCTCGAGCGCACGCACGGGCTTGCCATCCTCCCCTTCAGGCTTGGCTTCCTCCACATTCAGCTTGGGGGTTGAGGGCAGCGTGGGGGATTTGGACCTCTTGTCCTTCTTGCTGCTGCTCTCCTCCTTCTTGCGCGCTTCCTCCTCCGCCCTCGCCTTCTCCTCAGCCTCCTTCGCCTCCATCTCACTCATCTCCTCCACCTCCGTCTGCGACACGGGCGGCACTGCCTCGGCTTCGCTCGCGCTGGCGCCAAGATGGCATGCGCGCACCGCAATGTCGTTGCGTGACGCCATTTTCGTCTCCCACACTGTTGGGCGGAACGCAAACTTGCTTGCAAGCAACGCCACTTGCGAATACGCCTCGTTTTCACGCGCGTACGTCTGTCACACATGCGTGCGTATGTGTATGTGTGTGTGTGTGCGTGTGTAGATGTGAGTGTAAATGTGAGTGGATGGGTGTGTGTGATGCGAATATCTTTGAGTGCACACGTGTTGACTGACAGCAAGAACGGACGGATACAACCAGCTCAAATCATATCAACCCATGCACACATACGCACGTTACGACCCACTGCCCACCGCTGCAAGCATCCCCGCTGACCTTCTTGATGGTGCGTTCGTAGCGGGACTGCATTGCAGGGAAGAGGTCAAGGCCTGCAGCGCACATCGCCTTGACAAACACCGCAACCGGCCGCCAGTGCGCAAGGTGGTGGCAGTTGTAGAAGCGCGGCGACACCAGGCGCGCGCCTAGCTCCGACACCTCAATGTAGAACGTGTGGTGCTCGCCGACAAGACGCAGCGTGGTGCAGTGCTTGGGCACGGGCAGTGCATCGTCCAGATCGCGCAGCTGCGGCTGCTTCGGCTCCTGGAACAGCACGTGCTGTGGGGCGTGGAGGCATTTGGGGGAGGGGGTGGGATAAGCATGTATTAGCACGTGGTAATGCACACAAGCATGTGAGATGTGTGTGGTGTGTACGTATGCATGCATGTGCTCACGCGTCTGCTTGTTCATGCAAACGATGACTGATGACTGCGCCGCATGTATGTATCAAATCCTGTGGATTGCACTCACGTCCTTCTTCTGTGCTGATGCCGCCTTGTTGCGCCGTGCCGAGCGACGCGCCGATCGCCGCGCAGAACGCGCCCGCTCCACTGAACACGCACACGAACACACACGCGCAAATGCAGATGTGAACACATGCTCCAATGCAGATGAGTTCACCGCGAAAATGCAGATGAACACATGCATATGCGCATGAGTTCACACCCACGCACACACACACGCACGCACACACACGCGCGCGCGCACGCGCACACACACACACACACACATACACACACACACGCACGCACGCACACACACACATACACACACGCGCGCACACACGCACACGCACACACACACACAAGACGTACACTCCTCTGCTGTGGGCGGGGGTGGAGGAGGAAACTCTTCAATGGCATTCGTGCAGCGCACTGGAACCATAGTCCAGTCGTGAAGCGCCCAGTACACGTTGCGCGGCTGTCGGCGGTGGCAATGAAAGATGGTGATCACAGCAGCAATACAACACGGTGGTGAGCAACAAGTGATGAGGGTGTGGGCAACGAAACGCAGCGCACCACCACACCACAAATTGCTGAACTCTTTCGCCATGCCCCCAAGCCCCATTCCCTGTTGCCCATTTACATCTTCCACCACCATACCCTGAACAGCGAATGTGCGGTGAAGTCGAGCGTGGAGAACTTGAAAAACGCGGAACGCCCGCCCTCTGTCAGCGCAAAGTCCGCCACACGCGACGTCTTCCACTTGCGCTCTTCTTTGTCATACGCACACACGCGCACATGCTCGTCCATGAACACGCCCGAGGGAACAGGCATTTTCACTGATGTGGGAAGCGCACGTGTAGTGGGGCAGCGTGTGGACGTAGCGCATGCGTATGTGAGTGAGTACGTGCATGATAGGGCGCTTGAACACACAAAGCAGTCGTGCAACAAAGCAGCCATGCTGGCGTGAAGCTACCCTCGGCCTTCTCTCTCTCTCTCTCTCACACACACACACAACAATGTGCGACTGTACTGTTCAGCATGTATGTGCATGCAGACAATCGACCATGTGCACCTGTGATTGCTGGCCAGGACGGCATGCCGGCCTTTGGTTCCACGAGCTCGTCGCTGTCGGAGTTTGGGTCCGCCACGCGCGGGGCGTTTGGCAGCGGGTACGACACGGGTTGCAGCGAGGCCGGCACATCCACTGCGCAGGCAGGCATCGGGAAGGGTGGCGGTGGTGGATGATCGTGTGCAGTGGATGCAAACGCCGTTCGTGAGCATGGGGTGTGCGAATGCCAGGTTGATTGGCCGCAAATACCTCTTCTTCTTCCTCCTCCAATGATGCGCCTCAAACTTGCTTGTCACCACTCTGCAAGCGTACACACACACACACGCACACGCACACGCACCTGGACGAATGGTCCACTTGCCCACGCGTGTTGCGGCTTGCGGCAGACCGAGCAGGTGCAGACGCATCACATTGCCAACGAGGGCGTGCATTCGCAGATCCACCTGCACAGAAAAAAAAATAAGTCGTGTGGGATCGTGATGGTTACCCTTTGTGTTGGACATGGCGCAGCCGTGGAGGCAGGAACAGAACAAAGCTGACACAGAGACGCTGGCACACACACACACACACACACACACACACACACACACACACACACACACACACACACACACACACACACACACACACACACACACACACACACACAGAGTCGCTCACACGCATGTACGCATGTACACACATACAAACAGTTACTTACACACACAGTCACATTCACACACACACAGTCACACACACACACACACACACAGCCCACCTCTCCCTCTGCGAGTTCCTGGTCGTGTGGACTGTCATCAAACTCAATCTCGTCTGGTTCCGCCGGCGGTTCCTCCTCCTTCTTCTCTTCCTCCTCCTCGCCCTCCTCGTCCTTCCCATCAGCCGGCACCCGCGGCGTTGCCCGGCCAGAGACCGCGCGCGACATGCGTGCAGACGCGCGCGCAGACTAATGGGTGGTGGTGGTGGTGGTGGTGGTGGTGGCCAAATTGGCGGCAAGGTTAACTGTTGAAAGCACATCACAACAATAATTGGCAAGGTATGGTGCACGCCAGTGGACTTCGACCCGATGTTACGCCACCAGAACTACGACAAGCACCGCCACCATGACATGACGGCCACCAAAGCACACACAGGCGCGACGACCACCGCCACGATCACCACGCCGGTCACCTTGCGTGCGGAGACAGCGCGGCTGGCGCGGCCGGACTTGGCGGACCGCGTGGACGCAGGACGCGTCGTCCTGTCAGACAGTCACGTCCATGAAGAATGCAAGGATTTGGTTGTGAGGTACCGCGACAGAGTGCGTGTGTGTAGGCAACTGCGTGTCAGAGGGTATTACTTCGATCATACAATGTCAATCATCACCTCCAAGCAACTCAACAACACCCACGAGCACTGACACCACATCTCCACCATCGCACCACCACCAATCGGCACCATTGCTCAACCGCTGCGCAGACCTGCGGCTGGTGACATCTGTCTCCGGCTCTGGTTCTGGCTCGGGGATGGTGAAGTCTTCTTCAAGCTCCAACGACGCGAAGACCGGGTGGTGGATGTGCTCGACCTTGGGCGCAGACGCCGCGAGCGACGCGCCGTGCTGCGGCGCTGGTGCTGTCATGGGAGGAGGAGAAGATGGGGAGTGAGGCGCACGGGCACAGGTGTGAGATGGGTCATTCGTAACACAAATGTTCATCACACGCACAAGCGTAAACATGTGCAAGCACGCTCGAGCAAACACACATTGCCACCAACAGCGCACCTTGGAGTGAGCCTGGAGCAGGGTTGTTGTCGTCCTGTGCTGGTGGTGATGAAGATGACGCTTGTTGGTCGGGCTGCTCGTCCGAGGTGGCAACAGAAGCTGACGCATTCTCATCGCCAGTCTCTTTCGCTTCTTGCTCCGGCTCCTGTGCGTGCACATGTTCGCCACGCGGCAAGGTGAGCCACTGCAATGCACACCGAGGCAGACGTCGCTACGTGTGGTACGGACGACAAAGCACACACACACGCACACACACACACACGCACACACACACACGCGCACAGGTACACACACGCACAGGTGCACACACACACACATAGTTACCTCTGTGAGCTGGATGGTGGGAACGCTTGGTGTGTTGGACGGGTTTGCGTCCTCAAAGGTGACGGTGACGTCAGCGGTGTCCGGCTGCTGCTTTGGCGGCTGCTCGACCGTGTGCACACGCGGCGCCCGCGGTGGAAGTGCAATCCGCTCTGCGAGGGGATCGCATCTGGCAAGGCGGTGCGGTGTGCAAGCACACACACACACACACACACACACACACACACACACACACACACACACACACACACGGGCGGAGAACAAGGGTCAGGATAGGGGTGGGTGCATAAATGGCACACAAGCGTCGCCACCTTAAAATCACCAGGCATCCAGCAGCGCCACAGGCGCAGACACTCAATCGTCCACGCAAAATGTGCCTACAATCAGGAGCACAAACACAACAGCACACACACACATGAACACAAACACAAACAAAAACACAAAAGCACACAAACACAAACACAAAAGCACAAACACAACAGCACACACACACACACACATGAACACAAACACAAACACAAACACAAACACACACACCTGAGCTGCGTGAGAGCCATTGCGACAGGTGCAAGCGCGAGGTTGTGCGGGACGGAGAACTCGGGCGCATGCACGTCCTCAGCACCGCCATCGGTGTGTCCAGTCTCACCACCCGTTGCTGCCGCCGCTGTGCCCGTCGTTGCCCCTGTTGTGGTTGTAGCAGCTGCTGTGCCGGCGGCGGTGTTCGTGGCAGCCGCTGCTGTTGTCGCTGCGTCTGTGGCGTCGGCTGCGTCCGGGTCGCGGCGCTGCGGCGGTTTCGACTCCGACAGGAACTGGACAGCACTCGTGCTGCGGCAGGAGGGGGGAGACAGCGTGAGTGTGCGTGCGCGTGTGAGTGTGTAAGTGCGTGTATATGTGCGTGTGACTGTGTAAGTGTGTTAGAGAGTGAGTGTGCATGCGTGCGTGTGTGTGTGTGCGTGTGACTGTGTAAGTGTGTTAGTGAGTGAGTGTGTATGAGTGTGCATGCGTGCGTGTGTGTGAGTGCATGGGGACGTGTGGACGGCATGATGATGGCAGACGAGTGTCGGTGATGCAGACTTACGCTGGGTTCCGAGCGAGGTTTGCCCACAGGAAGAGAGCGGCTTCGCAGTCTGTGGTGGAGGGCTGTTCGCACACATACAGGTCTTCCTCAAACTCGCGCGTGTTCATGTCAGGGAACTGGACAGCAGCAACAGCACAAGGGGCAAGGCGGGGGAGGGCAGAGAGAGAGAGAGAGAGAGAGAGAGAGAGAGAGAGAGAGAGAGAGAGAGAGAGAGAGAGAGAGAGAGAGAGAGAGAGAGAGAGAGAGAGAGAGAGAGAGAGAGAGAGAGAGAGAGAGAGAGAGAGAGAGAGAGAGAGAGAGAGAGAGAGAGAGAGAGAGAGAGAGAGAGAGAGAGAGAGAGAGAGAGAGAGAGGGAGAGAAAGTCAAAGAGGGGGTGTTGGAATGAGGACGTGTTGATGCTCGTTCATGGGCTTGTTTGCGTGTGGGTGGCTTGTATGACAGCTAGCGACACATCACTCATGCAACCAACCAGAGCACACGCACCACCACATATCACGTGCGATCATCACGCTCTACACACACACACACACACACCCGCACACGCACACCCACACACACCCACACCCACACCCACCCCCCCCCCCCCACACACACACACCTGCAGGAGCTTTGTGATCATGTTTGTCAGTTTTGTCATGCTGGCGTCACGAAGAACTTTGTTGGTGCGCAGTAGCACAACTTCCTCTTCCTCATCCCCACGCGCTGCGTTGACACAGAAGGAAGAGAGCAGAGTGGCAGTGAGAGAGGTGAACGTGAGAAAACGCACAGACACACATACATACACAGCCAAGCAGACAATCATAGAATGACACACACATACATGCACACACGCACACGCCACTGTGTGACCTTCTGCGAGGGTTGCCTGGGCGTCTGCCTCTGCTGCGAGCTTGTAGGCCTGCGTAATCTCCTGCATGCGCTTCTTGATGTCCACGTGCGCCTCCTCCGCCGGGTTCAGGTCCACACGCACTGCGGTGGCGGCAGCAGTGGCGGGAGTGGCAGTTGTGGTGAGTGGATGAGTGTGCACAGCCGTGCAAAGCGGCAAGCAAGGTGTCACGTTAAAGAGTCGCGTCAAAATGTAGCGTCCTCGACAGATGCAGTCACAGAGACGGGGCATACTGGAATTACACACGACAAGCTAACATGTGCACACACACACACACACACAACACACACACGCACAACACTCACACACGCACACGCACACACACAACAACACTCACTCAAACACACACACACTCACACTCACTCAAACACACACAAACACACACACACATGCCACCAACTTGATTCGTTAAGCCACTGGGAGAGGTACGTGTTGACGGCGCGGGTGTCGGTGAGGGCTGGCGTGTCGTGGCACTCAACAATGCGGCGCCACTGCTTCGCATCCTCCTCCTCCTCATGTAGGCGTTCAAGTGCTTGCTGCAGCAACATGTACTTGTCTTTCACAAGCACAACCTGCAGTGCGTGCGCGCGCATGTGTGTGTGTGTGTGTGTGTGTGTGTGTGTGTGTGTGTGTGTGTGTGTGTGTGTGTGTGTGTGTGTGTGTGTGTGTGTGTGTGTGTGTGTGTGTGGCAGGTGACGAGATGAAAAAGGGAGATGCAGAGTGCAAGTCTCAGACCAACGGCGGTTTCCACCCAATGTCCCCGACAGCCGTCTTCTCGTGTGTCGGTCGATGGCTCAAGGAAGAAATCGCTGTACCTCGTCCTTGAAGCGATCTGCTTGGTCTCGGAGAAGTTTGTCTCGCAGGCGTTTTTGCTCCCTGTTTCGTGGCAAAGGTGAGCTACGCTGGGTAGATGAAGATGTGAATGCGGATGTGTGGATGTGTATGTGGATGTGTGTGTGTGTGTGTGTGTGTGTGTGTGGATGTGTGGATGTGCATGTGGATGTGCATGTGGGCGTGTGTTGGTGGCTCACTTGAGTGCTTCCTCTGCTTCCTTTTGAAGTCGCTCCTCTTCTTCCCGTTGCAGCCGCTCCGCCTCTGTGCAGAGGTGGCGTTTGCAAATACATGCGAGCGGGTTGGCGTTCGTAAGAAACACGCAAGCTGCAGCTCTGCAATGCTTCCGTGCTTCTCAACGACGCAGGGCACACAATCGCGCGCGCTTGAATGACATACCTACCTTGCTGTGCCAGGAGCTCTTCCTGGCGCTGCTTTGCCGTCTTCTTCGGTGCCTGTCACAGGGAATAAATGTACGTGTGTGAGAGTGTATGTGTGAGAGAGAGAGAGAGAAAGCGAGAAAGAGAGAGCCACAGAGAGAGAGACAGAGAGAGAGAGAGAGAGAGACAGAGAGAGAGCCAGAGAGAGAGCCAGAGAGCCAGAGAGCCAGAGAGAGCCAGAGAGCCAGAGAGAGAGAGAGAGAACGAGACACATACACACACACACACACACACACACACACACACACACACACACACACACACACACACACACACACACACACACACACACACACACACACACACACCATCTCTGCCAGTGCTTGTTGTTGGCTGTTGCCAAGTTGATTGTTAATTGCGCATCGAATTCACGCGCATCATTTTGAATCGGAAGGACTCACACGCACAACACATACAGACACTGCCAACACCCATCATCACACACGATGACGGCAGCGACGATGAATGGCGGAGACGGAGCGGAGGAGGTGGTGAATCGGTCGTCGCTGGGCAAGGGGAAGCAGCCTGCACGCCGCCGCAGTGCACCGGGCATGACGCAGGAGGCGGTTCACAACGGCACGATGCTCCTGAACTTCTTGAGGCTGGCGCTGGCGTCGTTCTTCCTCGTGCCAGTGGCGTTGTACTTTCACTTGTGGTTGCTTGCTGGGGTTCTTGCCTTCTTCGTCTTCACGCCACAGCTCGTGGGAAAGGTGCGCTGAGTCGTGTTACGTGCGCGAGCACACCCTGTGTTCATTGTTGTAGAGGTGGTGTCCCTGGTGAGTGTGTGTTATGGGTGATGGCGCTCTTCCACTGCTGGCAGCATGGCTGGCTACACCGCACACTGTCGTCTGCTCACGGCCTAATCCACCCCTACGCTGCGCGCGTGTGTCTGGCTGCCTGTCTGTTTCCCTCTCTGTCTCTCTGTCTCTGTGTGTCTCTGTCTCTGTCTCTCTGTCTCTCTGTCTCTCTGTCTCTCTGTGTCTCTGTGTCTCTGTGTGTCGTTGTACTGCCAATTACGTTAGGCCTGGACACATGTTGCGTACCGTAGTCCGCCAAGCAACGTGGAGGTGCTGTTCCACGGGTTCATCTCCAGCATCACGAAGCGACCGAGCCTCAAGGCCAAGCGGCCACAGATCACCTACGCCTCTCGTATCCGGTGCGTGCTAGCGGCGAAGAGCCTCACAATTGACGTTTGTGTGGGCGTTTTACGCTGCAGTTGCAGGTGGTCACGTACACACTGCCAACCTGCCCACCACGCGCCGTGCCTTTGTGCACTGTTCTTGGTTTGTAACATGCTATGCACGCTGCGCACCCATCTGCTGTAGGGTGGATGAGCGGGACTTTGCCCGCGTGTGCGAGCTCACGGGGTTTAAGGACGCCACGCTGGCCAAGCCAGGCATGGCAGCCTTGCCATACATGCACGTGAGTTGTGTGTGTGTGTGTGTGTGTGTGTGTGTGTGTGTGTGTGTGTGTGTGTGTGTGTGTGTGTGTGTGGTGGT